TTGAATTTCAGACCTTCTGCACGCGAAGTCAGAGACGCAATATTTTTATTTATTATGAGACATCGGAATTTCATACCAAGAATTTGCGCTTATGAATGAGATTGGCTTATAGTGCGTGCAGCGCTGAGAGCCTCGTGGGCTCACTGATTTAGATTAACACTTTCTACGAGATCCAACAGAGTCGGTGTATCCCCACCCTCACCTAAGGACGGAAACAAGTGCAGTTTCCGAAACGTCGTGTTTTCTGTTTTATAAAATACTGGGTGATGGAAAGAGTCCAAAAACCCAATAATTCTGCGTAATCATGAATGGGTCAAAAACATAGGAATCCTACTATTGTATTGTATTATATTGGAGAGGATGGGTTTCCCCATGCACTTAGACCATCTGTTGGTCCATTGTGCGTCCCCCTATGATATTCTACCAGTCTCTATTCCCTACCGGTACTGGTGCGTGCCATCAGTCCCGACTCAGCCAGCGAGTTCGGCCTCTACTGGCTCAGCGGTATCTCGATGCTTCCCCCATCTACCAGAGGCGTTAGAGACTACTGTTGGGCGGGAAATGTCCTGAATTTGGTTCAGTGGTCCCCTTGGGACATGAGGTTCTTTTACGTGCCGTAAAGCTACGACACGGGAGTGTCCCTCCCGGAGGACTTCTTCCCTAAATTTTTTCGCTTCTAAAATTCCACGACCTCCGCCGGGTTTGAACCCGCGTACCTTGAGTCACGAAGTGGGAGGCCGCTTAGGCATCCTACTAAGTAATAATCTGGTTTGTTACTTAGACAGTCAACCGGCCAGCTACTTATTCGCTGCTTATGTATATGGTAAATCATGTAATATACATAAAGTTTTATACCACGTATTTTCTGCTAATCGAGAGAGGACTGCTTGTGAATGTACTATTAAATCGGAAAAATATCGATATGGTTGCTTTCCAGGAGTACTGCACTACACTGCCATCTGTTGAGAGATATTAGAAAATCTTTCTGGCGGGAACAGTATGATGTCGACATTGCAGAAATCCACTTATGCATGTTGAATAGACTGCGTTTGCCTGTAGGCAGTGGACAATGGAGTTGAAAGGCATCGATTTCATGCGATTGTTCGCATTCCACTCGGAACATAATTTCCTCACAAATGGTATTGTAGTGGTTCAGCTTAACGTTTAACGACTGACATTTCTGCCTGTGACTGCACCTGTGTTCCGGGCTTGGCATTCTCAACCATGGCTCTCCTCTGAAGTGCTTTCTGCTTCCAGTGATATCTCACTCCCACCCAGCCTCTGGTCTCCTAGTGCTTCTTCACACTTGAGCTATATCAAAGAGCAGATTTAGTAGGTTCAACATTATCCAAACCAGCCTCAAAACATTCTTATGTGAAGATTATTATGCTCGATTTTCATTACCTCCAATTATTTCGTTTTTCGTCTCTTTGTGTTGTAACGCCATGACTTTCTTAGTCCACTTTACAACGCCTTGCCTCCCATATTTTTCCTTGTCTCATTACCTCGAGCTACTCGTATTACTGCTGATCACGGAGGCCGTGCGGCCTAAGGCATGAACTGTCTTCGCTCGCTGAACACTGGGATCGTGGGTTCGAATCCCGCTCGAGGCAGGGATGTTTGCGTTCATTCTGTGTTTGTGTTGTCCTGTGAAGGTAGCGGCCTTGCAGCGGGCTGATCCCCCGTCCAAGGAATCTTACCGACTATCTAAGATTAAGAAACCGAAGCGAAACAAAGCGTTTCACGGATGTTCTGTGCTCCAAGTGGGTGCAACAGGAATTAGGATAAATAGACCGTTTTTACTTAAACCGTGCATCTCATTGCTTTGTCTTGTCTCTCGTGAGTAGGATTTGAGGTTCTCACATAGGTGGTTATGAAGAGTTCTATCTCTTAGTATATAACACCATGTAGTTCGTTGAATGTAAGTAGACGTTTCGGAGGAACATGTCGCCTCCTTCGGGGTTTAAGCAAGGAATAGCATGAAGCAGGCAGCTAGTAAATCTAGAACTGCTATATTTATATAGAACTGATTTAAGGATTTTTAGCTTATCCACAGACATGGATGACGTAATTGGTTCATCCTGATCTTAACTACTTTTCTTGCTGTCCAGACTCTATCACAGTTTGTTATTCTTACTTACACTTGAAACATTCTTCATATCGAACAAAATTCAAATAGAGATAGTTCCTAATGAACTACTTCTGTAAAGGTGTGAAACTTCGTCTCTGACATTAAGGGAGGAACGTAGACTGAGGGTGTTTGAGAACAGGGTGTTGAGAATATCTGGACCGAAGAGAGATGAAGTTACAGGAGGTAGGAGAAAACTGCATAATGAGGAGCTTCATAACTTGTACTCTTCTCCAAGTATAATTAGAATGATCAAGTCAAGGAGGATGAGGTGGGTAGGGCATGTAGCACGAATGGGTGAGAGGAGAAATTCATAGGATATTGGAGGGAAAGCCGGAAAGGAGACGACTAGGAAGACCAAGATAATGAACCTTAGGGTTCCATAAAATGCTGGGAAATTATGGAGTAGCTGCACAATTGGCAGCTTCTCAAGAAGGGCTTCTCTTCCATAATTGAATGAGAGAGTGAGTTCCTAATGAACTATGTAGTTATGTTGCCATAAATATTTTATGGTATAAACACTTTTTGTAGAAATATTGATGAATTTATATTTGCACCTCAGGTATGGTACCGGTTATATTCGATTAACACGTTCAAAAATTCAGTTCATCAGACAATTATTAAGGTAGACAGTGATGCCATATTAATCGAAATCCGTCCAGTACCAGCTGCGATTTTCTAAAATAAACTAACGAAATATTTAATTGTTTCTGTTTCTGGAGCAAAACCATTTTAAAATGAAACTCTTTAAGCTTCTTCCAATTAAACGCGGAAGTTCTTCGAACAACGAAATATCGATTTCGAAGGAAACTCTTGTATGATTTTGGCAAATACCGGCCGTTTTATAAAGAAATTCATACATTTCTGAAAATGAAACACCGCCTCAGAAGGACTGTCTTTAAATAATGGAAGTCCGTTTTCGGAAAATCTTTTATAGCTTTACATTTTATAGGATGGTATTCAATTTTCTGATAATGAAAAGTCGTTTCAAGAAGATGTTCTCTAAATTTGTGAAAACGGACCTTACCATTTTAAAAATATTAGTATTGTAGCAGATTAGGCTGTCACATTTAGAATTCTAATAACTCGACGAACGAACCTATGAAGTAGGGTGTTAGAGGACAAGAAACTAAAGTAATGATCTCTAGAGCAGTTGTCCAAAGCAGTGGTTGAATAGCGTAAATGTAATTTTTTGTTACTTTCCTTCTCTGCTGCGCTAGGATGCTCTGCACAATCTTGTGAATGAGAGTAGAAAACGTGGTTTAAATTATGTTTTGAAAATGTTCCTTATATAATTTCTTCCTTATTCGAAATCGATGGACCGAATGTTGAATTCAAGTGTAGTCAGTACGAAGTCACTATGCTCTTATGTATATGCACATATAAATATCAACATAAATACATGTATATTTGAGAATGCTTTTAACATACAAGTGGCAATATTTGTCTCGTCAGGGGTTTGCGAGCATAGGTGGGAAATCTTAAACATTATTCATAAATGTTTACACAAGAAACTGAGGTAAATTTTTATACCCATATGCACTTCATCATCGTCGTAATTAAATAAATATTTCATATGGTTGTCAGTTTTGTTTTGCATGCTGTGTTGCCATTTCGTATACAGATGTTATTTATTTAGATTTTAGTCAGAATTTATGTAAGTGAAATACCAGACACTCATGTAATATATCGCTCTTACTGTATATTCATGGTGCTGTGTTTAAATACAGGATTTCCTTAACACTTTCACCAAGTAGTCCCTTAGAGCAGAGCCTTTCTTGAAAATCCGATATTCGCCCAGCTGGTCAAGAAACTCCCCAGAATTACTGTTTTTTTTTTTTGGACTGTGCCCGTCATCCGGAGGGGGTGAAGATACCTATTCTTGTGGGTCCCTTACAAAGAACTAACCTCAATCCACTGACCCTACGGGCGGCCGCACAGCAACTGCGTCAAGACAAGCATCAAGACATGAGTCAAAATACGCAGTCTTGCTTCATTCGTGATTCGTCAGCATGAAGCTGACGTCAGCATCATGACTCAGACCGGTGTGCGGCGGTTTTCATAATCTCATTCGTTCCAACTGTGCTCCTTTCTTTGCGTCATGTCGCAGACATCGTGTCTTGACTGTTACATGTCTTGATGCATGCCGGTGTGCGGCCTACCTAAGGGACCCAATAGATTAGGTGTTTTCTCCCCCCTCACCTGAGGACGGAAACAGATCCAGTTTCCGAAACACTGTGTTTTCTAGTTTCTAGAATACCGGGTGATGGATAAAGTCCAAAAATCCAGCTATTCTGAATGTTATAAACCATCATGAGAACCCTTTAAAAGGAATTCCCAGCCTCTCATGTAAGCTGAAGTCCTAATGCCGTGTTCTCACATATCGGACACTGGGCCATATTCTGAGCCCAGTCAATCCTCTAGACATAGAGTTGATGTTACTTTGTTATATCCGTTGAGGTAATTCCGAGAGATAATATGAGAGCCTTTCGCAGCTGTAGTCCATACCTGCAAGATGTACTTCATTCCTACCAGTGTTCTTATGTGCACTGGCCATCGGGTCGTTCGGATTCAGAATTCAGACCGTAAGTTTAAGTAAGTAAAGTAAAGCTATCCCTGTACCAGCCCGTGAAGGCCCATAGGGTTGTGAGACGTTGAGGGTCCCACATTATCTAGACAATCGGCTCAAAGATGGCGGTAAGCTTGTCAGCCTTACGCGCCGGCCGCGCTTTACTCCCCAGGAAAATTATTTAATTAATTCCGGGTACTCATTTCTGTTAGAGGCTGAGTGAACCCCAGGGCCATAGTGCGGCCGGAAGGATTAGCTCAATTGAATAAAATCCAATGACCTCATCGGTATTTGAACCCGCGACCTTCAGACTTGTAGCATAGTGCCTTTGAGAATTCGAAATAAATCTTGACATACGAGTTTTATAAAATGTAAATTCAGAATCATGTTTCGATATTCAGAGTGGGCCGCTTAACATTATTGCCTGGAATAATTCCTTTATTATCCATCGCATCGGGAAATGCTTCAAACAAGATTTCCGTGGTTTCAAGGAAGATATACGATAGGTGAAACAGACTATTTGTGTCATGCGTTTCTTATCAGACATCAAGGTCAGCTTCACCTTCTTAAAACTGAATTTGATCCAGTCACTCCCACAAAAACTGCAGAACATATCAACAAGAATCCAACGACCATGATTTCAGTACATTTCTGAAGAACCATCTGTGTGATATCTTGACACAAAATACAAGATTGAAGCTTTCCGTCTACTGCTTTATAGAATTTGGAGAACTGAGGCGCGCGGCACAAATCACGCTCCCCTGATCTATCGGTTTGTGATTTTTTTTTTTTTGTGGGGACACCTAAAGGCATGAGAGTACACGAACAAACCACGAACGATCCAGGAGCTGAAACTTTCCATTCGTCAAGAAATCGTAGCTGTGCCGGAAGACATGTTGGAGAATGTGTTGCAGAATTTTGAGGAGAGGCTCCAAATATGTGTCCAGCAAGAAGGACGTCATCTGACTGACATTATTTTCCGTACGTAATGTAAATTAAAAATGCGTTAAATACCGTCTTTTTGTGTGATTAAAAAAGGTTTTACCTTCAGAATCAACAAAATTAGTCTTATGTGAAAAACATGCGTTCCCTCTGCTCCACTTTGTACTTTAGTCGCGTTTTCACACTAACGGTTCAACGGATTGGTGCTCAGTTTATGGGCGCTGGATTCTTATTTATTTGCTCTACAACATTTGTAGGAGTGAAAAATCAAGATCCTTTAAAGAAGTGAAGTTGTCCATGATTTATTGTAAGAAATGTATGACACAAATAATCCGTTTCACACATCATATGTCCATCTTGCCACCGTGCAAATCTTGTCCGAAGAGTTTCCTTATGCAGAAGAAATGAAGGAACTATTCGAGATGACAGTGTTAAGTGGCTCAACCAATTTATTTACCTATATCCAGAGAGAAAAGTGAGATCTAGAAAACATTTGTCAGATTACTGAGAAGTACGAGTATGCAGTATATAGACTTCTTGTGCTGTCACTCGCCTCGTTCATAGGCCGACTTCCAAATGTCAACCAGACAGACAGATGAATGGAATCTATAGAACATGGTGAGAGGTACTGTCATGTGACTCAGCATTGTCCACAGAACTTTGCCGTACACTTCATAGCGGTCGTCTCTCCTGTCGTAAGACTTTATCTCGAAGGTCTCCGTGATCCACATAGCAACATTGCAGACCACGAGAAACGTCACCAACTCCCGACCTGGCTTCGCAAAACGCAGCTGCCGTGTGTTGCTGCAACGCCGCAAACCGTCAATGATGAATGGCGTCTGGAGTAGAACCTGTATCACCTGAAGGCAGGAATTGCACCGATTGGTGATGGCTCATGCATGGGGCAAGTGTGTAATGTTAAATCTCTTGTGCGTGTCTTAACTTATTTCCTCGCACACGTTTGAGAACATACACATTGAGTGTCGGTGGTCATGAAGAGTTCTGTCTTCCAGGAATGACATGTAGTCCATTGAACATTCTCCTCCATTTTCAGGGACACCAAGCTCTGCTTTCTGCCTGATTCATATTGTTTTTTCTTGTCTTATTCTTGGACCCTAAACACAGAAGCGACCTGTTCCTCCTGAAACTTTGGTTGATTTTCAAAGGACTATACGGCTTTTATATCACGGAAGTCAGAACTCTTCACAGATTGAGGGCGTTTCTGTGAAAAGTGCCATTGGATAATGCTGATTATTTGATGTTGGTAATTGCATTAGTCAGTGACAGCTCATGAAATGGCTGATGCATGACACATGTGATGAAACGTACACAGCGACATTGAGTCACTCATGTAAATGTGAAACTTAGTCTCTCATTCCAAGGAAATAGTACTCCTAGATATAGGCTTGCAGTCCATTAGCTTTGTTGTTGAGAAGTTAGAACGCATGCTTCTTATTTCGGAAGACTCCGGGTTCGAGTCTCGACTCAGAGTCCTGGTAGCCTGACTGTGGGTTTTAACGATTTTCCTCAGCCCTCCACGGAGATTCTGGGACTTAACTCAGTGGCTTTAGTCCGCAAGCGAACTATACCGACCGAGTGAACCCCGCTTGTCTGCGAAGTTAGTGCCAAATTTAGCGGATAGAGGATGTCGTGGTCAGCGCAACGAAACACCGCGGCAGATAATTTCGGTTCTCTAGACCGGAGAAATTCTGGGACAGAACTTTAAAAGACCTACGATCGCTTCTTTCTTTATTGTTTTCAAGTTTGCGATTTATAACGCCTGGGATTAAGAAAACGTCGTTAAATAAACAAAGAATCAATGGGAAGAGACAATTTAACTTCGAATGGCACCGCTGGAAGTAACAGCCCGCAAGACCAACTCTAGGATAGGACTCCGAAGGGTTGTCTCCTACCTGTAGCAAAGTAATTGCTATTGAGAGCCCGTTGTTCTTGAGTATGGCGGGCACGATGCAGAAGATTCCATACAGGAAGAACGCAGGTATGCAGATGAACAGCAACAAGTCGTCCAGTAAGGATATCGGATGGCTGTTGACGTCCAGCTGGGTGAGTTTCCGGTACGCAAGTATAACAGCAACTGTCATGAGTAGTAAGAGGATCAGCTCCGAGATGGCATTCACTGTCAGACCCATACTGACGAACTCGCTGCAACAATGTGGACGTTTCATACTGAATACACCAGTGTTTCTCAAGATTAGGATCACTGGTCCTGCGAATTGCCATGTACATAGATTTCACATTAAATAGGTGAATAAAGATGCAAAACCAATGATTTCCTGACAAGGTTCTTCATAATTTGTATTTTTCATGTTATATTATCGAAATTAGAAAACGGAAGGCTAATTGAATTGGTCATATCTTACGCAGTAACTGCCTTCTAAAAGAAGTTATCGAAGGAAAGACAGAGGGGCGGATAGAAGTGACCATAAGACGAGGTAGAAGACGTAAGAAGATGCTGGATGACCTTGGGGACAGAAGAGGATATTTTCATTTGAAGGAGAAAGCTCTAGATCGCATCAAGTGGAGAAACTGTTTTGGAAGAGACTGTGGACCTGTCGTCTTGACAGATTACAGATGAATGAATGTACTCGTATCATGGAAGATTAGATAAACGAGACACGTTAGCATGCATGCGGGAGAAAAATTGCTGAGAATTGAGTCCCTTCCGCTGAGAATCTAAAGTGAAGAGGTCTAGACTTAGACGGCAGAATAATATTAAAATTAGTGTCATAGTAGTGAATTGGATTAGAATAATCTAGCTCAGGATAGGGTCCGTTAATGACCTCCTGTGCCCACATTCCTTAAAACTGGAATTTCTTAAGCGGCTGAGTCTAAACTTCTCACGGAAGGCCCAGCGTTGTAGAATTATTCATAATCATGGCTCGTATGTTCTAATACCAAGCAGTGGTGCCCTTGAGAAATTAATAGTCACTTAGCTGACCAAGAAATTCATTGCCTTCTAGGGAACCCGAATATTCATTACTATTCCTATATAAAATACTTTTTGAGCGCCCTTTTCCTTTATTTCCATCTTTGGAAATGATTGTAAGTCATTTATTACTCGAAAGCGATTTGTGTCCATCTTCCTTTCGTTGCTTAGCAACTATGTAATGCAACAAACGATCGCTGTACGGCGTCATTGGTCGACGCGTAAATGAGCCTGACCATGAAGGAGGGAAGGAAATAGAGGAATACTTAAGATTTTTGTTGCTTTTTATAAAGTGGCGACCGGACATCGCCACGAAATGGTTATTATTGCTTCGTATTCTAGATGTCTCTGCGGAAACTGTCTATCCTGATGAACGAGTCCCCGTAGGCAAGTGATGGGGGTGACACCATGAAATACTCCAAGACACTTTCCTATAGCACGGTAATTTCGGATCATTTCGTGCACTTGAGCCTGTCTGACCTAGACATGGCTTGCAACTACGGTACCTACTTGTCGGCCATGGCGATGCAGAAGAGAATGATGCTGACAATGGAGCCGACCAGCACAATGAGGCCGGCGAACAGCCCCTTGTTGGCAGAGTGGCAGTCAGCGTGGATCACCAAGTTACTGTGCTCCCCATCTGCCCCGGTGACCGGGCACGTGGTAGAGATGCTGCTATGGTCTTGCGCGCATTTGCCGATGTTCTGCCAGATGATGAACAGAATGCCCACTGCAAAGGCAACCATACAGACGCGAATAAAATTATTTCATTTAAGTGGTGCCTCATGTGAATCTCGAATAAATATTTCTTTGTCTTTTCTTTAGTATTCGTTGGAAAATTGGTACTCCTGACTAGGTTTTCTCGTTCTTGTATTTGGGAGTTACAGTGTCTGAATTTCGATTCGTAAACTACCAATTCTTACTGAGATTTTCCAATGTTATTCTTTAGGTAATATGCCCACACAATTTGAATATAGGTTATAATACTAGTTAGTGCTTTCCTATTTTCTAACTATCAATACTTGTACTTAATTTGAAAGACTGTAGGAACAAGTGGTTATGACGAAGTGTCAGCGGTAATGACTCGAACCATTTAGTACTTTAGTACAGTACACCCCAGTCACTAAGAGACTAAACGACAGATATTCGAACCCATTCAAGGTAAAAATATTTTCCTTCGCCGCTTTGTATATATCGGATTTCGGGGCATGTCCACCCCTCGTGTATGTGGATTTCGCTGATCCGCCCAGACCATGAAATTTACCGCCCATTTCCACTTCGTGTTTGTGTGAGCAATGACTGAAACTTTGCCTGAACTTCCTGTGCACGCCATCGTGTCGCTTAGACACAAGGGTAACGTTGCTAATGTATTCTGTGTGTGTGAGTAACATCGGTTGGTATTAGTGCTGCTTAAATATCTCTGTACAATGAATGTTAACTATTTGTTGCTTACTAATGTTCTGGTATCTGACCATGAAAAATGCCAGTTATGACAGCCGGTACTGACCAGTCTACCTCTCTGTTAGTTCGATTCTGGATGTATCCGGTTAAAACCTGGACACTGAAACTGACTGTAATGACCACTATTCGTCGTGGCTTTATTTTGAAAGTATCCGGTAGATTATGAAACTCTTTATACTGTAAGGAGCCATATCTTCTTGGATATAACGCCCTTATATACTTACCTATGTGTCTTCAGATTCTGCATGACTGTTCTGTATATATGAGGCTTTTCGTGGTTCTGTTTTGGGAGTAAACCTCCCTGGTTTGAATTTCGGTCTCTGTACCGGACTTCATGGCTTTATTCGAATAATATGCCCAATTTTATTTTTGGTCCAGAAATTTCAGGTTAAGTTTTTGGCGCTTTATTCTGGATATATTCGGTGTGAAGTACCAGTTTACCCAAGTCTTCAAGTTTCCTCTTGAAGTAACAAGAATTGTGTAATATTTACTTATAAGAATTAAGTTAGGATCAATTAAGGCAGGCTGTTGCAGATCTTAAACAACCTTCTGTTGTTGTCATTTATTTATTTATGTATTTAAAACTAAATATCACCAAAGAACAGCAGCACGAAACAGCGTCTGCTCCCCGTGACACGGAATTCCTTTGTAAGATTTCAGTTTCCTAATTCTAAAAGTCACGGAACGTAGCTACTGAGTCATCAGTGTTCGCGTCTCGTATTCTGGAGGTCTCCGAATTCGATTTCCTGCACACAAACTCCCTGCCCTGATTTTATCATGGTCTTCATCGGCAATTTTTAAATACGTTACCTAAATTTATTTCCCCCTTATTCTCATTGTGTCACTGTTACTCTTCCTATCAACGACTGTACAGATCCGATTCCGTTGTAAAAGCCTACTAAAATAAATCTAGAAACATTATTGAGTAGACCTAATTATACATAGGTTCGGGTTTATATGTCTGTGAACCCACAGCCTGCAGTCGTGAAATGTTTGCTTGACTGTTCGGAATCTGATTTGCAGTATTTTAGGACTGACTAAGTAACTAATCTAGTCTCTGGTAGTACTATAATACGAATGTCCACCACTGCCTGTACCAGAGCCTGCTACTGGACACGATGGGCCGCGCCATAGCTCAAGCGTTTAGTCGCTGGCTTCCCACCGCGGCGGCCCGGGTTCGATCCCGGGGATGGTCAAGTGGGATTTGTGGTGGACAAAGTGACGCTGGGGCAGGTTTTCTCCGAGTACTTCGGTTTCCCCTGCCAATCTTCATTCCACCAATTGCTCCACAAGCACCCTCACCTATCATCTGGGGCTGGTACAATAGGCCAGAAGTGGCCGCAGTACAAGGGACTTAGTCCCATCCCACTAGCAATAAAAAAAATACTGGACACGATCATGAATTGGTTCCAACCATTTCTCACACTCAGAACCTTTTCCCTCATATTTCTTAATGTTCTCCTCCAATCGCATCGATCTTCAAAGTAGCCTTTTACGAACAGCCTTCTCCACCAAGGTTCTGAATGCATTCCTTGGATACCCAATTGTAGCTACGTCTCCATCCCATCACAACTCTTTGTACTTCGGTCTCTAACAATATGGACCCATAAAATTCATGAAGTCTGTCATAAATTACACTAAACTGCTCACTTTATTCTTCCTAATTTCAAATATTTCCCTGAGAACTTTATAGTATGGGACTCACCCACAAGAATGCTGTACTCGATAGTAAATGGGTACAGGTAAGGTGAGAACTGGCTAGCGATAATTGCAAGACCATCTGGGGGTCTGCACTGTCCCTTATCCCACCACGAAGTCTGATTGAGGCACTGGATCAAGTTCCTTGCACCAGCTGTAACACACAAGAGCATACTTACTCATCTCATCAAGATAACATCGAGAGAACTGCGTAATGTAATACATAAACTTTCCACAAGATTTTATTACAGTGGTTCAATAAAGATGCAGAGCGTGGATTGAGACTTGTATTACGCACTGGAGAGAAAAAGGGAGTATAAAATTTCAGCCAGGAAACACGAAGGAAGACAGGCGCGGATGCAACTTAGGAGACAGGGTATAAGGTTGTGGACCGTATTCCATTGTATCAAGATAGGGTCGAATTGCAGGATTCGGTAAACACAGTAACAAATCCTTGAGACACATAGAAGGCGGAATTTTTTCACTAACAATATTAAAGTACGGAATGTAAAACTCTTCATTATTTAATTTCCTTGCAGTTAACCGCAAAAATTTAGCTTCCTCCTGATTACGTACATCTGAAATGGATAATTATGTCTTTATTTCATTTGTCGTAAGTAAAGAACGAGCCTAAGGTCAAGCTCGTATCCGATACGACAGCCAGAATAGAGCGGATCTTACTTTTCTGATTCGCCGTCAATGGAAGAGCGACGGAGTTCTCGAACAAATCAGTTTCTTCACTGCCGTCGTCATCATCTGCGCTGTAGTCGTCATGGTTGGCGTAGGAGTTGAGTGACTCTAGTGTCTCCCTCAGAATTGTCCAAATCCAGAAACACAAACTGGAAGCAATGCAGTGCATCAGAGCGAATCTTCCCAGCTCCTTGCAGCGGTTGATGATCACCTGTGAATAAAGCGCCATGATTATTTTGTTTGTCTCTTACCGGCTTATTTAACGACACAGCTTCAATATGGAGAATACGAGTATATGGCCTGTAGGATCATTAATGGATTGGCAAGGATTTGAAGGAAGAGTGGTTGGCCTAATGAGGTAATAACCCAGCATTTGCGTGGCCCAGAAGAAAATTACGAAGACTTCAGCATAGCTGGTGTCTCAGCTAAAATTCGAACCTAATACCTGCTGGATACACGCCTAGAATTTTACCGTTGTACCAACCTATCAGGTGCTTCTTGATCGAATTGTAGAAATCAACTTGCACTGACCAAGCAACTCCATGCATGATTCTCACTTACTTAAATCCTTTTCATATCCTTACTGAGTGGTTGTTTAGTTGGAGTTTTCAGGATTACACGGCCGTGATTGTTCAGATTGTGCTACTCTGTGTAATACACATTTATCGCTGGGAAAACCTGGCAGTTTTTACGAGTGTTACGATAAATACAGAATGTCACAGTTCCGAACAGCGCAATCTAATTCTTGGGTTATATGGAGATGTTGCAAGTCTAAGTTCACGGATCGCCCTGTCATGTGGGTTAATGGTCATAAATGGGGTATCCCGGTAGCTTAGAATTTGGAAGGAAGTGAAGTACCGTCATGGCGAGACTAAGGATGTCTCTTAACATTCGAAGTCATGTACTTCATGAACAAAAGTCTACAGCCTTACTGATGCAACAGTGGATTCGTTAATCGTTAGTTCACATCTCAATTCCCATCACTTGTACTTCTTTCATGTGGTCACTTTTAAGAAGGTAAGTGAAGTAAAGGTATCTCTGTAACAGGCCGTGGAGGCCCGTAGGGTTGTGAGATGTTGAGGCTCCCACATTTTCTAGACAATCGGCTCACATATGGCGGCAAAGTTGTCAGCCCTATGCGCTGGCCGAACTTTACCCCCAAGAATATTCCAAGAATATTCCTGGTACTCATATCTGTTAGAGGCTGAGTCGACCCCAGGGCCACAGTGCGGTTGGAAGGATTAGGTTAATTGAAAAAGAATCCAATGACCTCATCGCGACTTGAACCCGCGACCTTCCGGCTTGTAGCATAGTGCCTCAACCAACTACGCTACCGCCTGCCCTCCCCACCTTTTCATGAAGTGTTCCCCACTAAAATTGTAGGCACGTTTGTTTATTAATTTATTGAGATACGTATTTAATTTATTTTTGTGGTAGAGCCAGAAGGAAAGAGACCACTAGAAAGATCAGGACGTAGGATGGAGGATAATATTAAAATGGATCTTTGATAGAAAGACCAGAGGAAGACTCTTGTGAACACGGTAATAAACATTCGTGTTCCATAACATGTTGGGAAATTCATGAATAGCTGAGCGACTTGCGGATTCTCAAGGAGGGCTCATATCCATGGAGTTAGAAGTTTAATTTGGAAAATATTGTAGGTTAAAGGTTCTGAGTAAAGGGCATCATGAATTTAAACCTTGTTCTCCTTCTAAGAGTACCATTATTATTATTTCTGTCTCTTACCTCCGTTCCCAAATTGTCCACGTTTTAAAAAGACAGGTAATTTTGAAGTTATACCATCAAATACAGAAGGGTCCAAAAAATGTACTCACTCTTTGATAGTCGGTATCTTTGGAACAAAATGACATGTAGTTACAATTCTTGGGCAGTAGTGTAGTGTAATGTTTTCTCAACAGATGGCGAAGGTCACATGAGTCACGTGAGTGTCGTGCCGCGTGCGCGCTGCGAGCAGAAGACAGCAGCAACAATGGCTGAAAGGTTGTTCTTTGAGCAACGCAAGGCTGTATTGAAGTGGTACTGGAAGTACGAAAACATTAAAGACATACGACGACAATGGCAGAATGAGTTTGGAACTCGGCCACTAACACATCGAACAATTGCCCGTATTTGGGATAAATTTGACGCCGACGGTACTGTTCATGATGTGCATAAGCAAAGATCTGGGCGACAACGGATAGTAACAAGTCCAGCTTCCAGTGCTGTGGTGTTGCAACACTTCACACGATCACCGTAAAAATCTGTGACTCGGTGTTTGGAGATGAAAGATTTTACCTACAACAAGATGGTGCTCCACCTCACTACCATCGAGATGTCAAGGCGTACTTAGATGACACTCTACCTGGACGATAGTTAGGTGGAAGAGGTGCTATTGAGTACCCACCATGGTCTCCAGACCTAACACATCTCGACTTCTACCTATGGAGAACCTTGAAGGTTGAAGTTTATCGATAAAAGACAGCTACACTGAAGGCGCTACGAGAAACCATCGAAGCGTTGTGTGCAGCCATCACACCGGACACACTGGCAGCCAGAGTTCGCTCAGCAGTTGGGCGGCATCGACGCTGTTTTGCCGCTGATGGTGGTCACCTCGAACACATACAATGACTCCCTCTCTCTCCGCGCAAGAATTGTAACTACATGTTATTTTGTTCCAAAGATATTGACTATCAAAGAGTGAGTACATTTTTTTGGACCGCTCTGTATTCTCAGTTTTGTGAGATTAGAATTTCTCATGGCGTTGACTGTAAATATACAGTCTTCTTAGATTTAAAGCCGTATAATCTTGTAAAAGTGTACCAATGTGTCGAAAGACGTGTTGCATCTATCTTTGGAACAGAAGATATGTGCTTTTCTACCCTGAAGATGAAGGCAGCACATTCTTCCGAACCGTCGATAAATACCAATATTAATAATAATAGTAATACCCCTGAAACAGTTACATTCCTCTAATAAGCTTAGGGTATAATATGTAATTTAGAAAGCAGTAGTTCCCAGTCATTACTTGGAGTGTGAAATGACCATGATTGTATCTTAATACAATGAAGAGACTGGTTTCTTGTAGCAGTACTTTACTAAATATCTGTATGGACGTTACTTATGCTCAGACATTCAACGCGTAATTTACACAGAGTATGTAAATACAGGCACATTATAGCAGAGGAGTGAGACTGCTTATGTAAACATGTAAGATGTTTTCCAGAAGGTGCATGTCAACACCATTCACTGTGTTATTATTCTACGCAGATTGAGAAAGCTAACGTATATTGTTATCATATGTGAATATTTGGATATATGTGTAATGTGGAAGCCAATATGAACACTTACATTTGAATATTTAAATATAAAAAACAGTTGCAAGAAGGAATACACGGGGTACAGTACGTCTAGAAGAAGTGTAGCAATGCTGGCACAGTTGTAAAATTCTTGTCCTTCTGCTCTCAGGTACACTATCTGGTACCCTAGCATCAGGCCACTGTGGATAAGGTGGCCGAAACAAAAACCTGAAACATGAAACATCTGAACAAATATCTTGCAGTAACTGTCGCGAGTTTCGGAAGCAGTAGTCAGTAGTCACGTGATATACATCTACAGTTATCACGGAAATATTGTTATCGACAAGCAAAGTACACGACATTTCGGCGTTGGCTGTGCCTTCATCTGTGGTTGAACAATACCAGAGGAACAAAAACTCTAACATAAGGGTTACTAAATACAAAAATGTGGCGCAGTGGGCTGTGTCATTGCCCGAGCCTGTTGGTAGCCAAATATACCGGCTGATGGCGGTTCTGATTCTGGATTGACCACTGACCTGCTGCTCCCACTTTGAGATAGAAGCTGCCGGAATGCCTCCCCTTGCTGAAGCAGTAGTGGTGTGGCAGCGGATCCTCGGCCAATTTACTGGGGAAGGGAATGGCAAGATGGTGGTTCCCGTCGGAGGAGCCGTGGCACACGATGTCGCTGTCCTTGATGGAAATATCTGCAGCGTACGCCAAGAACAATGATTGATCCTTAAAGTATTCTTCAGAGAACTGTGTCTTAGAACGTCGAATGGTAGAATGGTTAGTGAATAATGGGTTAGGCAGGACGTGGAAGAAAAGCTTCGTGGCCTAATTTTAAGTATTATCCCAGAATTGGAAAGGACATGCGGTGGAATAGTTTGTTGAGGCACTATGCTACAAGCCGGAAGGTCACGAGTTCGAGTCCCGATGAGATGGATTTTTGCAAAATACCTAATCCTTCCAGCCGCACTATGGCCCTGGTTTCGACTCAGCCCCGAACAGAAATGAGTACCAGGAATCTTCCTGGGGCACAAATGTCGGCTGGCGCATAAGGCTGATAAACTTATCGCCATCTGTAAGCCTATTGTCTAGAGAAAATGTTGGACCCTCGACGTCTCACAACCCTGTGGACCTTCACGGTCTGTTACAGGGATAGCTTTACCCTTTCATAGTGGGTATTAATGTTAGCAAGTGCAGATTCTGTCCGAACAAGTAAGTTCGTTGCTTACAATGGGAAAGAATCCTCGTGTGTAGTCAATGTGTACCCTAAGATAACCACAGTATGCGCCTAGACAGACCAATGGGATTTTTAAAAAATAATATTATCCTCTGGGATACAACGCCATGCATTCCATTGAAAATCATTCGACGATTCCGGGGAACATGTCACTTCCATCATCAGGGGCGAAGAGTAAGCCGAGCATGGACCAGCGTGACAGGTGGCAAGCAGGGCTGGTTTCATGCTTTGTTTATTCTTCGATCCTGAATATGGAAGTTACATGTTCCTCCGAAGCGTGGGTTGATTCTCAACAGACTACATGGTGTTATACCCCAGAACATGAACACCGCTGTGAGATACTCAAATCCTACACAGCCAGTATCTTGGTCAAGATTCGAACTCAACATCTTCTGAGATATCAACAAGATTTCCAGTGACTAAACAGCGTTGTCACGTATCATTTTATTGATTTCTGCTAATGAATTATACATCACAGTGTACAAATGAGCAGATATTAATATGATGATATACTTGTAAGTCATATCTATTGCTGATTGCCTCCAGATTCCATATTTTGCTCTTCTTATTATGTCACTTTAATATAAAGATGCGGCAAGAAATTTCTTACCATCCTTGCTCAGTAACACGGTGTTCCTTCTTTTAACCTTCCTCAGGTAGCGTCGAATATCCACATATAGGAAGGCAAAGTAGACAAGTCCCAGCACCACCAAGTAGATGCTGAACGACTTAAATAACAGAACGTGACACATTAGTAGTAATAACAGTAATAATAATAATAATTCAATTCGTGTTTATTTATAATAATAATAATAATAATAATAATATGACATGACGCCTGAAGGCTGTAATAGTGGAGCCAGAGGAGACGCCCATTGCTAGGCAAAGGCTTCGTAAACACGTCTTTTCAAAAGGTCAAACTGATTCAGTTTATTTTTATTTTAGTCATAATTTCGACATTATTCCATATGCATTGCATCTTCGTAAATTCAATAACTATTAATTATCTTCTGGTTACTTAAACTGGTTTCTCAGCTATTTAACAAAGAGACAATTTCATGTACATTATTGTGGTACACTTTCTTCGGCTTTTGTTGTGCAGTCAGGCATATTTCAGGGCTCAGTTTTAGGGCCTTTGGTTTTTAATATTTTTATAAGTGGTTTATGTGACGTAATGAATCACTCAAACAGTCTTCATCTTGCTGACGACCTTAAAATCTATCAAGAAATTAGTTCACCTAGTGATTCTTTACTTCTGCAGTCAGATATTGATTGTGTACATAAGTGGTGTTCAGGAAATTTTATGAAGCCTAATTCCAGCAAAATTAGAGTTATCTCACTTACCAGGAAGACGGACGTTCTGAATTAGCAGCACAGACTGGGAAATTCCTTTATATTTCCAGCAGATTTTGTGAAGGATTTGGATGTGCATATTGATTGCAAACTTCATTTGCATCGTCATGTTGAGTTTCTGTTCCACACGGAATGACATTACTATGGCTAATTCGCATAATGACATTCTCTTTTTCTTACTTAGAGAGTCTACTAATGCTGTATTTTGCTTTGGTCAGATCTACACTCGAATATGTTTCTGTTGCTTGGAACTCTGTTATGATAACTGATTCCAATAAACTTCAGCGCACACAAAGAAAATTTGCAACCCTTTGCCACAATAGATTTTTCCAAGACATGGAATATTACAATGATAATTTATTGGAAAGATGAAATTTGCTGATACTGCGTAACAGGTGTCGTCACTTTACGCTTTGTTCTTAATAAATATTTTTAGTGGCACTAAATGTTGTCCCTCTGTCCTCGAAATAGTCGGCCTACGGGTTTCTACTCGGAACATTCCTAACTTCAGTATGTTCACTCGCTGACCTTCAGCTAGACGTGTTTTAACCGCAAATGCAGTTTGTAAACTTATAGATGTTTTTATTTATTCGAGTGTTTAAAGCCCAAACTGATTAATATTCTTTCTTTTTGATGTTTCCTGTTTGTTTTTCCTGTGCTGTCATATTGCTACTGTTTGTGTTCGTGCTGACTCCGCAATTGGCTACTGGCTGTTGAGCTCAGTACGTAAGTGAATAAACACTTGAAACTATCTGAATTACTAGGGCACGCGATAACATAGTTGACTGAGGCATTGTGTTACAAGCCGGAGAGTCGCGGGTCCTTTCTCAAAGCGACCATTGTTTTGTTTTCTTTAACTGACCTAATCCTTCCAGCCGCACTATGGTCCTAAGGTCTACTCAGCCTCTAACAGAAATTAGTACCAGAGATCTACTTGGGGGTAAAGGGCGGCCGACGCATAAGGCTGACAACCTCACCGCCATCTATGATCTGATTGTCTAGAAAATGTGAGAGCCTCGACGNAAGCGATACGTTCCTCCGAAACGTCGGTTAACACCACATATACACGGTGCCAAATCCCAAAAGACTGCTTTCTTCATTTGTGATCTGATTGTTTGGAAAATGTGAGAGCCTCGACATCTCACAGCCTTCTGGATCCCCACAGCCTGTTACATGGATATTTTTGCCTTTTATAACTGGATTACTCTCATCATCTCCTAAATGATAACTTTGATTTTTGTTATTATTGCTATTTTACTTGCATCATCATTGCCCAGATGTATAAATTGCCTTGTTTTGTACTCTGTGTGTTTGCTTCTTTCTTTCAGCCAAGTTCACTTTGTAATTGGCCACTGGCTGTTGAGCTCATAAATAAATAACTGAATTTGCCGTAGGACCGCTTCTTACCTCGGCTAGAGGCGTGCCGTTTCGCAGGACAATGTCGCTGACGTAGATAACTACCCCCAGCGTCACGATGAACACGGCGTACACACAGCTCAGTGTCACGGTCAGGTAGCCTCTGCGAACATGTGACAGGTGCTCTTTATAGGAAGGCTGCCGGCAAGGCTATTGTCTGACCGCCTAGCTTCAAAATTGTTATAATATATTCCTGGATTCCTATCAAATTGTGTTGGCCTAAGTACACCCTGTCTAAAACTTTCTGATAAAATCTAATGTGATCCCTATGGGGGCAAATGGGGCGGAACTTTACTAGAGGAAAAATTAGTAAATACTTGTCTTTAACCGTGTGCCAGATTTATTATACAATTCAGCAATCAGCGTTAACAGGAACTGGATAAAAAAACATGTAACGATATGTACAGATCTATCTATCTAATCAATGGCTGTACCGCCATTTGCGGGACCTTGGTCTCTTTTTCAGGTTTTTGAACATTTACAGTCGGTAGGACTCCTTGGACGAGAGATCAGTCCGTCGAAAAGCCGCTATCTACAAAACTTACATAGACATCCATGCCTCAAGTGGCATTCAAACCCACGATCCCAGTGTTTGAGCGGGCGAAAACAGTTCATGTCTTAGACCACGCGGCCACCGTGATCGGCTTATGTTATATATCTATATGTGGTATCAGCCGGAAGATAATTAAATCAAAGCATAAGGGGAGAGATTAATTATGTTCCACCGTTTGATCTCGTCCAAACCCTTCAAAATTATTCAGTGGAATTCAATGAAATTTCCTACTGGACATTTACCGGTAGTGACCGAAAAGAAAAGTCACCCTTTCTGCCACTGAAAGTTGGGCGAATTTCTCTTCGGCCCCGTCAGATCCCGTATACTTTTGTGTTACATTAAATTCAAATCGAGCTTCCATAAATAAAAAAAAACAACTTCTCTTTCGCAGAATTCAGCAGATAACGGAAAATATAGTCCCAATTAAGATCGACAGTTGTATTTGAAATTGTTTTTCATAGGTGCATATTTAATGAAAAATAAATAACCAACTCCATGACTCAGACCCCTTTATGTTGACTTGTCGCTCAGCTGGCAAAGAAACTGCCGGCGTCTTATGCAACCTAAAGGTTTGTTAGCGAGTTCACAGGACTTCTTAGGCATCTGAATCCATTCCGCACCACCACATGCCATTTCTTTAAAGTCTTTTATTTAATCCTTCTAAGTACACCCTCGTATATCGTCCAGCCCTCCCTCACCCATCAGAACTTCCGGCTAGAGCTTCCTGTGTTTTCATCTCTCCACGGGCCCTTGTGAACGTATTCATGTAATGTCCAGCTTCCTTGTACCCCTGAGTGACAGTGAGCTACACAACGACTGTTCTTCACGGAGTTGGTTTTCGTTTCTTTGTGTAACTAATAAATCCTGAAAGTGATGAGGAATGGCAAATCTCAAAAGAGGATTTGAAAATATACATAAACAAAAGCAAAATCCGTGACCTGTAGTCCGCAAGCGAACTATACCTACCGAGCGACCGCCGCTTTTCGGCAAAGTTAGTGCCAACTTTAGTGGATAGAGAGTGTCATGTGGTCAGCACAACGCATCCCCACGGCCGTTAATCTCGGTTTTCTAGACCGGAGTCACTATTTCCTTGAAATAGCTCCTCAGTTATCCTCACTAGGCTAAGTGGACCCCGCTCCAGATCCACTACTTCTCAGAAAATCTGGTACCGCCGAGAGTCGAACCCGGACCTCTGAATTTGTAGCCAGGAAATCTGACCATTAGACCACATAGCCCGTCTTTGACAATATGTATATACTCAAAATTTGAGCACACCATGCGCTGTAACATTTTCAATGCCCTTGACAATAATAAATTTGAAGAAGCTTCTACATCGTAGTTCGCGACCTTGACATCTGTGACTGACCTGAACATCTCGATCTTCTCCTTCGGCGGAGTGGCTGGAGGATCCCCTTGGTCCAGGATACCGCTGCTGCCTCCCAGTGACGTCACAGTTAATTCTCTGCTATCAGGGATGAAAATCTCTGAGCAGGAGGTTCCGAGGCCTCTGCCCGGGCAGCAGAATTGCTGGGTGTCCGGGAACAGTTCTGGTTGAGTGTGTTGGTAACCTTTCCGAGGCTTGAACAGATCTGCTGATAGACAAACGACATATTAACACGTGTTCTGCTGAGGAAGGGATGTAAAAGGTAAAATTATGTAAAGCTTTTCCTGTAAGAGGTCATGAAAGCCCATAGGGTTGTGAGACATTGAGGCTCCCACATTTTCTCTAAACAATCGTCTCACAGTTGGCGGTGAGGTTGTCGGCCTTATGCTTCGACGGTCCTTTACATCGCAGGAAGATTCCTGGTACTCATTTCTGTTATAACCTGAGTCGACCCCAGGGCCATAGTGCGGCTAGAGAGATCAGGTAAATTTACAAATAATTAACCTCATAGGGACTCGAACCACCGACCTTCCGGCTTATAACATATTGTAACATTACCGCGTGCCAAATGTACCGTCCAGAAACATCGCAGTCTCGGCCGGGACACCGGTTATTGTGAAAGAGATTTTTCGTTGTAACCTCAGGCCTCCCGTCACAGGCAAATGTTGAGTTAGTACATGAATAGGGGTAAAACAGCTTCCTCCCAAATCGCTTCTGTCTGATCAGTCATATCATCATCCCACGCTATATAATCCGATATTGTGAGCGTCGTTAAATAACTTACCGAAATACAGGGCTATTATAAATGTTTCATTCGTTTTTAAAACGCCATATTTTCCAAAGTATTATACACACAAATATGATTGATATACAAAAAGAACCGTAAACTCACCAAGTTTGTATTATGTGCTCAGTTGGCAGCACGAGTTCAATGCCTTTACAAAATGGCGACAAAGCATAAAAGAGTTCTTGTTTGTTGGAGTATGCGAAATGTTTGTCTGTTATAGCAGTGCAACGCGCATTCAAAAGAGAGTACGGAAAAGAACCGCCATGTAAACAAAGCATTTTGCGGTGGTATCGGAAATGTTTGTCGCTACCTAAACAATGAATTTCGGCATCGCTGGATTTGGCGTGATGGTGAGGATGACGTAGCTCTGTTCACTTGGCCCCCCAGATCACCTGATCTAACGCCTTGTGACTTCTTCCTTTGGGGGTACATTAAGGATCGTGTTTACGTACCCCCACTGCTAAGAACACTAGTAGAGCTGAGGGAACGCATCGATGCTGCAGTGATGACCATTGACAGGATGATGCTACAACATGTGTGGAACGAGCTCGACTACCGCCTGGACGTGTGTCGTGTGACCCAAGGGGCACACATAGAACATTTGCAGAGTGTGAAGAAAACTTGGCAAGTTTACGGTTCTTTTTATATATTAATCATATTTGTACGTACGATGCTTTGGAAAATATAGCGTTTTAAAAACGAATCAATCATTTATAGTAACACTAAATAAGAAACACTGGTCTTCTTTCCTCAGAAGATCTCAGCGCTTGAATGTTCGAGTGAAAGATTCATCTTCTGTCATTATTCAAACCATATGTGAATTATTGCGCAGTTGCTATGGAGATAATCTTGTAGCGAAAAATATTAAATTAACTCGAGTGCGGTTTTGGGGCTGTGACGCCATGTAGTTCGCAATGAGCTCGACGTTTCTGAGGAACATATAGCTTCCATCTTCATGGTCGAAAGTTATGCAAGCTTCCGCCTGCTTCTGCTGGTCTATAATTTTTTCTTTGCATTTTGGCTAGAGGCTCTTCGACGTCGTGGTGTTAGGCTTAAACAATTTAATCCTCAACTTACATGAGCACTGATACATTTCAAATAAAGAATTCTTACATTACGAACATCACAAGTCATCATAGCTTGGATACAATTCGAGTGTTATTAAGAATTGCAACATGCCAGTCAATTGTTTTGGTGTTACGGTCTAATGATCCTGGAACCGTACGTTCCTTTGTCACAAGAAATGAAACTTCTAGCCAACGGTAAGTTGTTTGATCTTTGTGTTCAGCAGCCGGAAAATTAAAGCCGTCACAATGTAAATGATATTCTCCTTCCGCATGAGTAGCTGCGAGAGATATCGAGTAAATAGCTCACTGACTTGCCGACTCTACTCCCGGCCACTAGAAAATTCAGTTTTTGGGCGACGAATAAGGTATCCCATGTCCGTGTATGCCTTCTAGTATTTACTTTGAGGCCAGTTCCTCTAATTCTTTAACCCGATATAAATACAATGCTACTAATGTCTGCCTCTACTAATCGGAACGATTATTAGAACTGCGCCCCAGAGTCAAAAAAAGTAATATCAATTTTTAACTCCGTTGTACAAGATCTTTCTTCCGTTTATAATTATTAGCTCCTTTTAAAACTACATAATGAGGAGCTTCATAAATTGTACTCTTCGCCAAGTGTAATTAGAATGATAAGGAAGATGAAATTGGCAGGGAATGTAGCATGCATGGGGAGAAGAGGAATGCATAAAGGATTTTGATGAGAAAGCAGAAGAAAAGAGACAACTAGGAAGACCTAGACGTAGGTGAGGGGATACTATTAAGATGGATCTTAGAGAGATAGGATAGGGTGGTATGGACTGGATTGAACTGCATGAGGATAGGGACCAGTGGAGGGCTCTTGTGAATACTGTAATGAACCATAAAACGTTGGGAAATTCTTGAGTAGCTGCGCAACTGACGGCTTCGCAAGAAGTGCTGAGCTCCATGGAGTTAGTTAATCCCGGCTTTTTTGACACTTTGATACATGAGGAAATCAACAGGCAGAAATAAGATTCCTCTTAGATCTTAATGGTCACTTCATGAGAACCCGTAATAAGAAGGTGATATAGCATCTGCGTTGTACTTTGCTTGGACTACAAACCAGTAAAGTGATGAGACGTAGGAAGAAGTGGGAAAACAGTTGAGATAGAGCAGGCCTCAAGGCCTATGCCTCAGGTTGACGACATTTATGATATAGCATCTGAGTCCAGTTAAGTGCCAGGTTAAAAGTGAAGCCTCAACTGAGAATTCATGTGATGGCTGGTTGGAGCCCTCACCCACCATATCGGCATTATTAGACGACCATAAATAATCGCTGAAATTATGATTGGCAGGGGAAAACCTAAGTTCTCTCAGAAACAATGCCTCAGTTAACCAAATTTCACTACAATTTCGCATGAATTTCCCTGTTAATTGAGGCCGAATCTCCACGGAGAGTAGCCAGGACTAACCGCCCAAGTATGACATGTCCTGAAATGATCATTGTTACAGAAAATTGCATTTTGTCATTTCATCTACTCGATCCTGACATATTTGCAATCAGGATTGCTCCTCAGGATATTATTTATTTAGATATGGGATAGCATGCATGGTCCTTATCGTCATAATCTGTCTGAAATGAAACTGATAACAATTTTAATCTATAGACTTGGACGCTATCGATCGAGCGACCGCTGCTTGTCGGCGAAGTTAGTGCCAACTTTAGCGGATAGAGGGTGTTGCGTCGGTCGGTATAGTTCGCTTGCGGACTAGAACCACGGAGATTTGTTTCGTTTTCTTTTTCTTTTTGTTTGTTTGTTGACTTGGACGCTCAAAGTGATTTGTGCCTTAGTACTCCGACACAAGTTGTGCCAGGTCTCACATCATGAAACCCAGAGGTTTAATGAGGCAATTAACAGAAAGCGGTCGATGTGATTCGCATGAAATCGTGGACGCTTATTGCAAATTATCTCGTCACGTCATGAGCAGTTCCCAATTAACATTCTCTATAAATTAAAGCAAAATATTTTTAGTCACGGAAGGAAAGAATAAAATAAAATGTGAAAATATGTTGCAAATTTGAGTTACAAATGTTGTTAAGACCTATCGTATCAAATGTATGAACATTATGAGCTCAAATGTTCTCTTAATGGACACAAAATATCGTAGTTGACAATTTGTAAATAGTACACACATGACTTCTTTCTACTCCGAACACTGGTGGTTAGTGCGTAAATGCCGCGGGACAGTGGACCGAGGCTGAAGTAATGGAGCTAACGGTTTGTAAATACACTACAGTGCTACACTGTAGTGGTCAGTACTCCTGCTTTGTCCTCAGGAGTTTAAGGATTCGAGTCGCATTACAAAAGGTTAATCAGCTCCGTCCAGTGTGACTGATAAAATGTTTTTTCTATCTTTCCTTTTTAATCTTTCATCCTTGACATGTTTCAGTCTTAGAGACCATCTTCAGAAGGGTACATCAATTCGGGCAGAAACTGTTATTACATTGTGTCTGGTCAATATCAATACATACAGACAGTACCATCAAAATGCCACGAATATGAAAGCTGAGCCTTTAACAACTACAGCGACGTGCGTGAATACATTAAAAGATTTATAAATTATTACAATTAGTCTGTTTACAAGTGTGGTAATATCGTATGTATGTATTGATATTGAACAAACAGTGTAATAGTAGTTTCTGCCCGTATTGATACACCGTTCTGAAGATGGTCTCTCAGACCGAAACATGTCAAGGATGAAAGATTAAAAAGGAAAGATAGAAAAAACATTTTATGAGTCACACTGGACGGAGTTGATTAACCTTTCGTAATATTGCTAGTGTAACGGACCAGGATGAGCCAAATCAAATTCGATTCGTAGCCCAGAAATAGATAATTGTGACTGATATTATTTACGGTTTATATAAGTCTCCTCAGGAGATTATCTGAATTGAACCTTAACAAGACCAGCATGCTTTATTAAAGCTTAACTCGTACCCCCCCCCACACACACACACACGCTTGACTCTGTATAATTTGTGAAATTTCTGATGGAGGAGACGGCCTTCAGATATGAAGGGCAGCGGCGAATATTTTAAACATTCAGTCACGGACAATCGATAAGGGGCGATACTGCAATCTGGGGACTGGGCGAAGAGATAACAAGGCATCATCACAAAGAACATTGCCTCATGCGAATTAAATTTGGTGAAAGTTAGCTACTGTTCGATTCGGAATGCTTCGAGTTCCAGTCTCCCTGTCTAACTGAAACACAAAAATTTATAATTTTACCTTCCGTTTTGTATGGATTCGAAATTTGCTCAGAGGAACATTAGGATATAAGGGAGAGTTAGGAACAATGGTCGTTCGGATTTTCTAAAAGGCTTGACTATCTCAGAGAAAAATTTCTTCTCAAGTACTGTGCTCCATAAATATTATCAATTAGTTGACAAAAGAGTAATTAAATAATGAAGAACAATACGTATGCAAGGAATAAACGGTTGTCCTTACGGAACTAACAAACCAACCAACTCACTGAAGTAGAATCTTTGTGACACTGATCGTCACTCAGGCTAAAGTAAATTCCCGCTTATTTGCGGAACCTGCCAGTTCATTACCGTAGAAACAACAGCCCGCCACAGGACCCTATTCTGAACCACTTGAAACCAAGCCACATCCTTATAACCTAGTTCCTTAACATCTAGTTTAATAGTATACGCCTGTCAATCAATGGGCGTTCGAAGTCGTGTTTTCCCTTCGCCATTCCCATCCAAATTCTGTATGCATCTCTCAGCTTTCCCATGGATGCTATATTTATTCCTCTTCCATCTCGCTGTCCTTGCTCTGGGCACAGTAACAATATTTCGTGAAGCGTGCAAATCTTGTTGCTCCTCTTTATGTAATGTTTCTATGGCATGGCCGTCGCAGTTCATATTTTGAGTTTTCCATTACAATCTTCGTTCTTGTTAGTAATGAGACGCCTGGCTGTATTTAGCTTCACTGATATGTCTACCGTTTTGAGCAAGCCAACTGCTTCAGAAATGCTGGCATGGAAATGTCCCCATACGATCCCAGTACTGTCGTGCTGTAACTTTCACCGTCACCCTCCCATGGCTCGTCTGCACTTTCACTTCTGTGCGGTTCCTGCCGACACACATTCGTGCCATCAGACGAAGTAACGTCACAATAATAGCAGTTCCATATTACAGAAACGCGGCTGCCTCTGTATTTAGAATATAGATATATGAAACGCGGTAGCGTAGTTGGTTCAGGCACTATGCTACAAGCCGGAAGGTCGCGGGATCGAATTCCGATGAGGTCATTGGATTTTTTCAATTGACCTAATCCTTCCAGCCGCACTATGGCTCTGGAGTCGACTCAGTCTCTTAACAGAAATGAGTATCAGGAATCTTCCTGGGGTAAAGGGCGGTCGGCCCGTAAGGTTAACAACCTGACCTCCATCTATGAGCCGATTGTCTAGAAAATGTGGGAGCCTCGACGTCTCACAACCCTATGGGCCTCCACGGCCTGTTGCAGGGATATTTTTAACTTTTACTATTGTTAATGTAGTGAAATATAGGTTATGGTGTACTCGGCGCATGGTTGTGATGATAGAAGCAAGAAATATATACAGAATTTTCGCGGTGAAACCCCTTCGATAGTGTCCATCAGGGAAGCCGAGAAGCTAATGGAAAGGTAATGTTAAGGAAAATCTTAAATGTTTAGGTTGTAAGCGCTAAAGACGGACAGAAGTGACCAGGATCATGTCCCATAAAGCACTTTGATATTAGAGGTTTGAACCGTCTGCTACTTGACAGCCACTAATAGCTTAATGTTTAATTAACTAAGTGCCAGGAGCTGTAGTTTGGGGGTCTATCTTGATACATCGAGAGTCATTCAGTTTATCTAGAAATTCCAGATGTTTTAGAAACCAGATGTTCTATTGCCGTGTCCACACAAGGCACTTTAATCCGATCAAAATCTTGACACCCTATTTTTTTTTAGATACGCTTTAATATTATCCTTCCCGCTGTGCTCAGATCTTCAAAGTTGACTCTGCAATTAAGGATATCTGACTAGAGCATTTTATGCAGTTCTCAAAGGCACTTTGCGTGCTACACGTATTTCCCGTCTAATCCTCCGGTTTGATTAAGAAATTTGGTGATAATGTTTATAAGCAATGTACGTATACATATATGTCCGAGGAATTCCGTAGTAATCGTAATCCTTCTCTCTATTCCTCATAATTATAATTTAATAGTACAATTTATGAAGATCCTCATTGTACGATCTCTTCCGGTCTTTAATTGCTTCATCTCTCAATATTTATCTCCTAATTGCTTTATTTAATTTAATTTCAGAATACTTTCAAAATAATTGACTTTGAAAGCATAATTATTTAAGGTCAATCCTAAGACTTGCGTTTTAATTGATTTTTTGTTGGAGTAAATAGTGTATACATCGATGTTTTTCCCAGGATATGGTGAAAGAAATTTACATGAAAATTGCGAAACGACAGTTCTCATGTGTATAACGATTTCTTATAAGTAGTGCCGTCGGCATGTATTCAGAAGTCGCTCATTTCCGCTATGCGTTATAAGTATAGAACAGCAGATCAAACAAAATCATCTTTATCGCTGTCTAATGGTAAAATCTGCCAACTAGTACTTTAAAATTTAGTCAAAAGATATCAGAATATGCTGCTGTATTGAAGCTTTCGCTGCTAATGAATATGCTGAAGAATTTGGGGGCTATTAGCCATATCAATGCTAAGTTAAAAATGAACGTTTCAGACACCTTCTCTGTCTCCATCATCAGGGTCGATGTGTTGAATGACCATACGTCGCTGTTACTCGTACATATACCAGTGCAGCATAGAGTTAACAGAGTGGGGGCATATGATAATTCAGCACACCGACCCTAATGCTGGAGACAGAGGAAATCTCTTAAACGTTGGTCTTTATCTCAGCGTTGACATGGTTGGTCATCAGAGAAGATTTTGGCGCGTACATTGCTCTAAATATCTGTTCGATGTGCTGCATTCCCTAGCAGAGACGCAGAATATTACGTGCCGATCCCAGTGGCCGCGGTAGCTTCGCCCTCTCGAGCACTAGGATCCTGGGCTCGAATCCCACTCGAGGTGTGGATATCTGTCTGCATTTGTTCAGAGTTTATATTGTCCTGTGTAGGTAGCGGCCTTGTGTCGGAAGGCTCCCCCGGTCCAAGGGGTCCCACCGGCTCCTTACAAAATTCGTAATTTCACAACTGATTCTGAATGAGAACAGGCCAGGCAGCTTAATCCGTCAAGGGAGAAGAATAATGTTTAATTTTTAGTCTGGCCGAAAATGATTTGTGACGTAATGTGAGAGAGACGCCGTGAGAGAACTTGAGATCTGAGTCGAGTCGTGACACTGAAAGAGTTAATAACACAGAATTAATTTCTTACCGTAATGAATATACTTCGGCGTTATGGGTGGTTCCTGTTTAATATTGTCAGTGCCCGCTTGGGGCAGCACTAGCTGCAACACCATCTTCTGCCCATCACTGGATAACTGCAATAATAAAAATTATTTAATTAATTGATTTAAATTGTCTGTCTGTACAGTTATACTACACTAGCTGAATGTATGTAATATTTCATGAAATATATAAATTGAGTAGAATGAGCGAAGATGTTGTTGTGGCCTGTTTAAAGTTACTGCACCGTTGTTAGCCCGGATACAACAAGGTAAATCAGAAAAGTCAATCATGATAGCAGGTAACCCGACAAAATTCGGAACCTCTACGTCAAGCATATAACGCTCCAGCCGCTACGAGTGTTACTGGAATCTGTAAAGTTTCATCCTTCAGAAAGCATAAAACAAGCCACGAAAGGGGGAGCTGGTAGCACTTGGTTGAATATAGGAAAGACGTATGGCTTTAGGCCACTCTTGTTTTTTTTTCTACCAGAGAAAAATTGTTTTATGCCCCACTACTCCTAAAGTAAACTGTACTAAAATAATCCAATTGTTTGTATTTTAACGTTAAAGAAACTTTGCATTTTGCCCACAAAATATGTTTATTTCCCTAAATACATTGAACCAATGGCTCTTCGTCATGGAGGCGCAGAGGACTTTATGCGAAGTAAAAACTAAAGTTTTAAACACTATTCAGTTTTATGCTTCAGAGGGTTAACAATTTTAGGGAGAAATATTCTTGATAGCCGAAGATGAAAGTTACTAAAGAATTTATAAACTGTAGAGCTGCGAAAATAATCCGACTGCTTGTTTATTGCAACAATATTGTGAACATGTATTTCCGTTAACCAGGAAAGAGTTACCGACATCTTATGAAAATATAGGCGCATTGCCCACCCCACCCCCGACAAGGTTAACGAAAATGTCTGAAAATTTTACTAAAATAATAACGTCAGTTATTTGTTCTGACAATAGTATGGACATGCATTCCCTTTGACCAGTATTATATTAGGTCTATTTACTATTGTGGCTCCGCATAGTGATCACTTTATGCATTAAACGTTTACCAAACAATGAAATAGACATAGACAGAGCTCGGTTATGAATACGTATTAAACAGTTTCCAATTTACAGAAGAAACCATAATCTTAGATCGCTTGTACACTACTGGAATCGGTTTATTGTCTCTACTAACCAGAGAGAGAAACGGAGACAAATTAATTCAAATCATATAAATCATTTGAAGACTGTCATTCACGTAACTTAATCTTAATCAAAAGCAATGCAAGTCTGACATCTGTCAATAAGGAGTTTTGTCAAATATGTTTTCATATAGCACCATGTGCAAGTAGTTATAAGTTGAAGGCATGGAAATAACATACTCGCATTTTCTGATATTTCTATATAATTTTGAGGTTTGAATATTTGTTTTACATGATCTCTAATACGCCTATATCACCAGAAGGTTGCTGAACTAGTTAATGAAACTTTCTTAACAGAAAACCGATCTATTCGGTGAAATATCTCCATGATTTTTTTTACCATCGATATAATCGATCTTGGCATTATAGGGGTGAAGTAAGAATATACGCTGCTAAGATTGTGTAAGGTACCAGATTGTTCTGGTCAGGTAAACATATAGGTGACCGCAGTATGACTTGAGAGTTTGTGTAATTGTGTTGTATACGGTTTATTTTTCAGAACACGAGAGAAGATTGGCTTTACAGAAAGGAGTTTACCTCGATACACGTGACCGGTGCCTACTTGATTACGTAGATGATGAGAAAATGATGGAATGCAGGCAGCCGTTTGAAGTAAGCTGAAATGTTCCCTCTCCGTTCATAATTAGTTTCTTATTCATGTTCTCATTTCTTTCTTTATTTAGTTATTAATATGTAAGCTCATGAAATATGATGATCACTGCATACAAGTCGTTATTTTCCTCAAATTGTATTAATATTCACCACATCGAGAATTTTTTTAATGCTAGTGGGGTGGGACTAAGTCCCTTGTACTGCGGCCACTTCTGGCCTATTGTACCAGCCCCAGATGATAGGTGAGGGTGATTGTGGAGCAATTTGTGGAATGAAGATTGGCAGGGGAAACCGAAGTACTCGGAGAAAACCTGCCCCAGCGCCACTTTGTCCACCACAGATCCCACTTGACCAGACCCGGGAAGCCAGCGACTGACCTCTTGAGCTATGGCGCGGCCTCACCACATCAAGAAATGTGCGAACACTGGTTGCAGATCTTAAAGAGACTTTATGATGGACAAAATAGAAGTGGGGCACGTTTCCCTCCGAGTATTTCCGTCTTCCCATGCCAGTGATCATGGAACCAGTGCTGCACGTAAGCAATAGGTTCAGTCAGGTAGCGCGTTATCGTAATGGAGGTCCTCACTTGGGCTTTCACATGTGATACAGTACTCGGTAGTAAAGAAGTTAAGTGAATGAGATCTATCTTTTGTGTTTCTTTGTACAGCGAATTTTGAAGAAGTGCGGTTTCAGCTTTGTGATATTGATTTTGTAGGTTGTTTTGTATGGGTGTGAAATGTAGTCTGTTACTTACAGGCAATAATATCAATTACATGCAAGAATTAAAAAAAATATAAAAGCTTAGGGAAATATTAGGATGTAATAGGGCTGAAGTGAATAGCAGCTTAGGATATTACTTCATGAGGAACTTCGTGATTTTGATAATTTGTGTAATATTGTTGGGAAAGTGATATACAAGGGGCTGCGGTTAAACATAGTTAAAATTGGGGGGGGGAGAGAAGTACAAAGAGAGTCTTGATCGAGAAACCTCCTGGAAAATGGCTACTTTGGAGACCGAAAAGGCGATAAGAATGTTACAAGAACATACACTTTAGACAAATGTGTAAAATTTGAATTTCTCACAGAACAGAGTTCTATCTTCTTAGATATAACACCGCGCAGTCAGCTGAAATTCAGCGGACGTTTCGGAGGAACTGTCTCCATCTTCAGATTCAAAGAATAAAATAAAGAAGAAGCTAGCATAAAGCAGGCAGTGAGGGCCTCTGTTTACTACTTGCATCATGCTGATTTCTGTCTTCGTTTATTCTTCGACCCTGAAGATGGAAGCGACATGTTCCACCGTTACGTCCGTTGGTTTTCAACGGATTACACAGCACTGTATCCTAGCACACAGAACTCTTCTCACGCGAATGTGTTTTGAGGATTTGAGGTGAATGAAACTGGCGCAGAACTCTGTCCAATGGCGGGCGTTGTTGAAACTTCGGGTTATACAGCCACCTGAGTACCAGGGATAAGTTAAAATGTGTCAAGCGCAAGCATTTTCACTTCCTCTCTAATATCGAAAGGTTTGTCATTCCCTTTTATAATTGCAACGAAATAAGTCAGTCACTCCGGTACAGTTGGAACGTGAAAGCATTCAGGAATTAATCATTCAAAAGAGATTAATTCGTGAGAGCGGAAAGTAGGTGTTTTTTTCTCCCAGCTTTTACCGTGAGAATGGCGAGCACCATTTTGCTATTTCGACATAACTGCTGTCCTGGTAATTTTCAACTTCCTGACAAGTTGAGAAATGTGTGGATCATATATTAGTCTGCTCCCTCGTTGTTATATATATTTCATCATCATCATCATGTAACTTGCATTCGCGGTCAAACTCGTGCATTTCGCAAGTGACTTCAAGTAACAATATAGACAATTATACGTTCTGTTCACTACATAATAAATTGAACAAATAGTGACTGGGTCCATCTGTCTGTCTCTCCGCAAGTTTCACCTCCAAAATAATTGAACTCGTATCGATGGAATTTTATGCGCGGATTCAAATACTAACGTCAAGACCGAGAAATTCTCTTCGGGGTTATATTAGAGAAGTTTGTTTAGTTTATTTAGTTTAGTTTAGTTATTCATGACCCTTATTTGCTGTCTAGGTTATGTCACGCGATATAAACCCATAAGACCTTTGTAATGTGGCAGGTTAATGGGAGGTTAAAGATCGCTTTCGATGGTATTGTTATTAGTCTATTAGGAATTTACTCGAAATCCGTCTGTTTTATGCATAATATTTTACAAACACAACGCACATACATATATAAATACAAACAAGTAGGGTCTNTTGATATTCTACCAGTCGCACATACCCTACCGGTACCGGTGCGTGCTATCAGCCCCGTTCAGCCAACGAGTTCGGCCCTCGGTACCCGATTCTTCCCCCATCTACCAGAGGCATTGGAAACTACTTGGGCGGGAAACTTGCCTAAATTTGCTCAGAGGTCTCTGGCCGCGCGGCTTAAGGCATGAACTGCCTTCGCCCACTCTAACGCTGGGATCGTGGATTCAAATCCCACTTGAAGCATGGATGACTAATTACAATTAAAGTTTTGAAAAGTAGACAAAATGCAAATAATTTCTTAACTGAACAATAATGAATATTTCTGGAGTTTACTCTTCTTTCAATTTTATCATGAACCTCATTTTTCTTTGGCGTTTGTTTCTAGACAATGGAATTGTATTTCGGTGCCAAGAAATTTCTTATAGACCTCAATTTGAACATGGCACTTTTATTCCCGTCAGGACTCGCTGATTCTTACGGCGATTCGTATGTTATTTTTCATACTTTGTAAGGGAGTAGCGCTGATAATGTCTCTTCATTCCTTAGAGTGTTTGATGACGGAGAGGAAATTTTAAATTTAAAAAATCGTAAAAAAAAATCTAAAAGTTCACCCCGATGTATTAACCCAACGATTGCCTTCCGGAGGAAAGGAGTGGCTGCATCGATTGCGCCCAGGTGAGTGGGCTTTTTCACCGGTGACAGAGACGGAGTTCCAATCTCCTTAATGTTGTTTTAAATAAGAACATGAAGATGGATAATGTCCACAGTGTGGGTTATTGTAAATAATTCGTGTTAATGACAGCCAAAGAAGCACTATTACGAACTCTTCTACTTTGGAAAACACTGCAGACTAAAAACAAACAGGTAAACGTAAAGCTATCCCTGTAACAGACCGTGGAGACTCATAGGTTTGTGAGACGTCGAGGCTTCCACAGTTTCTAGACAGTCGGCTCACAGATGGCGATAAAGTCAACCTTACGCACCTGCCGCCT